CGTAAAATGTTCTCCATAAGAATTGCATTATAAGCAATTACTGCTGATTTTTGTTTACTTCAATACAGCTGATCGTGATTTATCATCAAGCGAGTACGCAATGTTAACATTAGGATTACTTATTTGCCAGTCAATTCTGCAATGTACCATATAAAACCAGAGATAACGTTACCTATAATAATTAAGACTTTTTAGTTGTTATATAGAATATGGAAATATATTATTTTACTGTGAAACTTTTCAAACTTGTGTTCAACATGAAATAACCACATTGAATAAATAATTAACGATTCAAGATTAAATGGAAAACTTCTGCTTTGTTTTTATTTCAAAACATATGTTCTAGATTTATTCTAAACTTTATTTTATAAATTTGAGATTTATTGTAGTGTTTGATCAATATTTTGTATGAAGTGGAATAACCTCAACGGCTACTCTTAGAAAATAACCTGGGAATAAAGATGGATGGGTACATACAGCAAATATACGAGTATATTTGTTAATTAAGTAAATACTATGACGAAGTTCCGATGGGAGGAAAAACAATTTTGTTTGGAGATCTAAACAGGTTACTGTTTGATGCTCGCAAAAGAGTTAAGAATCAGCAGATGATTAGGCCGAGCTACCTTAATAAACCAGTATTTATTCACAACCAATTATATGTTTGCTGCCTTTAGCAGAGTTAAACCTATGTAGTGATTTGAATGATTTATTGAAAATAACATCAACAAAGACAAACAAGAAACTGTTTTTTACACAAAAGATATGGCATACAGGGATATCTATTCTGACACATAGATAATATATTTCTTTGTTTGTTTGAATATTAGAATAATTTGTTTTATATTATTGAGCATTTTAGGGACTTATGTCCCTACAAGCCACTAGTCTATTCATAATTGATCAATTTTGTATGCTTGTGTCGTGTTGTGAGACACTGTTAGGTATCTATGAATTCAATAATTGGTAGTTGAATCCAGTAAATAAAATTCTTCTTCATAGTTTATGTTAGTCGAATCCATAGCAAATAAAATTCTTAGTCATACTTCATAATAGTTGAATCCGTAGCAAATAAAATTCTTCCTCATAGTTCATAATAAATCCTTTTCACCATTGCTGAGTTTTTGAATAAATATAAACCGTGATTTCTTGCTGAAAAATTATAACGAAGAGGTAACTTTGTTACTTCAATCAAGTTAAGTTTACATTCATTGTTTTGTTACGTTTATTTGTAGAAGATTTTGAGTGTACTGTAATGCGCTTCTAAACCTGTTGTCACTGATATTTACTTAATGGTTTGTAAGTACACATTTAAATGTTTTTTTCATAGTTTGGAATATTTACTCAAGGACAGCCATTTAACAAGTGTGTGTAGTTAGTTAACACGATTGACATTGTTGGTGGAATTAGTCGCTCTGGCTGCATTCCAGTTTTCATATTCATTCGGTTGACAATGCGTTGCTTGGGGGTGGGGGTGGCTCAATCAATACACAAGGTTAAGGTTGAGTTCTGCTCATGTAGAAATGTTGTGTTGTCATTTGTTGATAACAATTGTTGATAAGTCTTGGATAAGTTAGCGACTCTGCAGAGGCCTGGGATGCATATTGTCATGGTTAGCATTTCATCATGTTTTTCCAAGTTACAGAAATATTTTTTATATCAAAATTTTAAACATATGCTCTAGTGGGTGGAATAATTGTTGTTTGAAGCTTAAAATGTTTCATCAGTCTTTGTTCAAATGTTCACAATATTTTAAAACATAATATAATTTCTGTCAAAAATTATCTTTTCATTATATTATGGTTTTGAAGTTTCTGTGGTGTTGATGGAGTTCATATATTTTCGTCTATATTTTCCCGAGAAAGTTGTGTTTATTATAGTCAGTTTTAAACGAAGCATAACATTTATTATTTTATCATAATAGTTCATATCCTTAAAATGTTTGAACATTTAAGGGAATTGGCTTAATCTTAAAATTAATCTTAGTAACATGACAAATGTTACTAAGATTAATTTTACAGTAATTATTTAACCTACTATGAAATTTTAATACAGACACATCTGTATAATGTTTTGTTCCTGGAAATTTCTGGATTTGAAGTGAAAAAGGTTTAATTAACCATAAGGGCGAATATCAAATTGAGATACATAAAGTCCCAGTGCTAAAATCAGGAAATTAGTAATTAGGTAGTTTACTTTGGTAATTGAATAAAATTCAAGCTTATAAAAGTAGGCCTGTTGTTAGTTTTAATTGTTAAATAAAAAATATAAACAAGTGAATATTGTTAAAAATAATTTCATACACTAACAAGGAATATCGTCATAACAATGAAATTAATTAATTTCCATTCACAAAAGGTGAAAAAAATTTGCTAACATCTGTCCCCAAACCAAAAAGAATGGTAAATCAGGGAGGGAAATTTGTTTTCCCTGTCAATGTTGGCAGCCGTGGTCTTTACTTGCTGTAGAGGATGGTATAAGATTCGTAAAGAATGGTTGTGTTTTGTTGTCAGTGTTTTTTAGTTAAATATTTGAAAGTTGGGCCTATATTGTAAATCAATCAAAATGTAAAGCATAGTATGTCTGGTCGCCCACGGTTAGAATTGGTAATGTTTGTGAAATCAACAGAACTGTTTTTATATACTGTTGAAAAGATTCTCAATCATAATCTCAAAGTTTTTCAGTTCATTTGAACATTTCTATCAACTGCTGTTATATGTCAAAAACTACAAAATGTCCTATCGCTCACGTGTCTTGTCGCTCTCGTTGGGAATGGAAAACCGTTGGCAATAGAACATTAAACATCGGCGACAATACATTAAATGAGATTTATGTACTGTAGTTAGTAAATAAATTTTTCCCCTTTCTTTCTTTCTTAATTAAGGAATTTTGACAAACCGAAGAAATATTGCATTTTAGTTAAATTCAACAGTTTGAACTAGTATTACTATTTAACATTTCTAAGATTTGTCTTGTACGGTACAAAGAACCATTGAATTTAAAAATAGTCATTTATTTATTGTCATTTTTAGAAAAATTGATTCTTACCCAATAAAAATTTTTACCCCATAAAACCCCCCTTAAACCCCCGTTCCCTTGGTCTGATCATGCTGGTTCACAAACTCGTTAGAATAAATGTAGGTTTACACGTTTATACCAAATTTCATCAAAATCAGATCATTTTTGCTCGAGTTATCGTGCTAATAGACACACATATATCTTACTAATATCATAAATGTGAAAGTTTGTGTGTTTATTTGTTTGAAGTTCAATCATGCAATAACTACTGGACGGATCGGGCTGAAATTTGGCATGATGATAGATCACATTCCCGATTTACATATAGGCATATTCTTATCTCAAAAATCCTTCTGGGCTCCGCCCCAGTGGCTCTGTAGTTCCCCATGTTAACCTTATGAATATTTATATTTCAAGGGAATTAAAGAATTTAGTCAGCTCTGTTTCAACTAAAAAAGTTGGTTCTATGATATGCAAAAGCATTAAAAGGTTATAGGATTTACCAACAGGGTACAGCACTATTATTTTTTGCATTTATGAAAACAGCTAATTTGAACTAAGCAGCAACAAAAAACTGTGATACACAATGAGAAATATCAAAGTAGGATTGTTTACAGTTAAGTTTATGTTTTTAATTTCATGAATAATTTGTGCTATTTCAAATTTTTTTTCTCTGTTTAGGTGAAGTGGTAGAACATTATGGCTATGGTAGAAGTGTAATACTATGGTATACCATAAATTTAAATAAGAAAATTTTATCAAACTGTGTTCCCCCATTGCAAACGCAAAGCTTGAGTATAACTGCAATAAGGATTTTATGCTAATGTCAACCCCGTACGAAGGACGGGTACTCTGCTATTATAAATATATACTCGCCTTTGGCCCCCTAGCTGTTAGTAGTCATTAGCGGCGGGGTGAAGGGTCGAGATTGTCGGAAGTGCCTAGAAGGGTTTTTTAAAAAGTTTAATTCCTGACCATGAATATTCTTGCAAATCTTTGCTAGATCCGTTTTCGAGTTGTAGAAGTAAAAAAAAAGTGTTAGGTAGTTGTGGAGGAGGGGGGGTTAAGTCTTTAATAAAATGGAGCTTTTAAAAATTGTAAGGGCTAATTTTTTGTAACGTTCTACACTATTGTAAAGTTTTAATTCTCTAGGAGGATTGTAAACTTTTTAGATCCTCATACCAAAGTCAGCCACTTTCAAGGTTATTAACTCCATAAGCATAACAAGGGGGTGGGGGTAGTTTGATATTTTGGGGGGAGGTATTGTAAAATGTCACTTTTTGAAAAAGGCGCAAGACCTATAAACGTGCCAAATTTCAGATCTCCAGCTAATCTAGAAGTAGGTAAACGTTATCAAGACTGAAACACCTATGATAGATATAAGGGGGGAATCGATTTTGGATGGAGTGAATAATTTTTATATGGTGTATTTGATATTCATACCATGGTGTTAGCTCTAATGTAGTATGAAAACATTATAAAGATTATTATAAATATAAATATAAATAACATTTTAAATATATATATATATATATATTTGAATGGTTGGTGTTTTTTGCATCTAGGGACATCAAAACAAAAAACTGAATTGGTCCCGGGTCCAGGTCTTACCATGAGTAGGACGATGACAATAATAGCTTATTCCCTATACGGCGAATTCGATAAAAGGAGAAAAAAGTTGCGAGAAAAGTGTAGAGGGAGAGGAAACACAAGCTGAGGAGAAGCCAGAAGGAAAATGAAGAAATCTTAGAAAATACTCCACCAGGATGAAGTAACAGATACAGCAAGAAATACCTCAAGACAAAACAAAGATAATTAAAAAAAAGTTTAAAATTGTAACAGACCTTTAAAATACCAAGGATGAAAATAAAAAAAACTGCAACGACGGTTGGAGAGGTATAAAAAAGGCTCCAAAGAAAAAAGAATATTCTCTTTTTACTAAATTGGAATTTGCGAGTATTTATAATGTAATTCTGTTTCAGATTTCCAAGTCTACTAAGACATCAGTGAAAGACACAGCTAAGACTACAGCAAGTCCTAATAAAAATAAACCTGATAAACGACCTGAAGAAAGCAGTCCTTCTAGTTCATTGCTGTCCGAAGATTTTTGTGGGTTTGAAGAATTCACTGAATCAGATGAACAGCTAAAAAATAAAAGGGCTTTACAAAGATTGCTCGGTAAGTAGACAGCATAATTCAAAATTTATAAATTATTTTAGTGCTATAAAAAGCTTCTGGTTGTTTAAATAGCTAGCCTAAGTGGTAAAATTAGATGTAAACATACTAACCAATGAAATCAATCTTTAGTAATTGGATTAGATATGTCCAACAATATTAAAGATTTATTTTTTACATACATTTAAAAATACATATTAAAGATTTGAAAGATAATCTAAACCAAATTTAATTCAAGTTAAAGATGGCAGCCTGTATGCTACTCAACTCAAAAAGACTCAATCAATTTAACTAACATTTTTACACAATAAGGTTTAGGGCCGTTTATTTTTTTTTATTATATATTATTTGTTAGGTTAATTGAACTAAGCCCAGGTTAACTCAGAGAAGGGGGGGGGGTTGTTACTGAAAGCTTTCAAAGAGTCACAATGACAGAAAGGATCCTCTTCGGGAAGGCGCCACCTTGTTTACTGTAGAACGTCCACCGGCCAACAAGGAAGTCCAATGGCAGTACAGGGTTGAGATTAAAGGGTTTACCCTCGAGGACCACTTAGCTTATCATTCAGACTCACTCATTTACTAAGCCTAGACAATTTAATGTGTTAATATCGCTAATGGTTTTGCATGAGCGTGAGGAGTAAGATTAATTTGTAAGGGAGTGACTAAAGTTTGATTTTAAACACAGTAGGAAATATTAATATAGTGAAAACACAACAATTCAATTTGAATTACAATAGTTTAATAAGGAAATTAAGATTTAAGAGGATTACAAATCTCCAAAGCAAGATATTGACACAAAAGTTAACGATAGTCAAACAGATTTCATATCATAAATTATGGGATAACAATAACTCAACGCTCAATCAAAGATGAGTTTAAAACATAGGTAATTAGTGGTGGCCACCTTAACTTAAGTTGAATAACTCTGTCTATAAATAAATTAAGACGAATAGCAATGAACATAAAAAGAAATACAAGTTAGATACCGGTAATAGTTATGAGATCAATTTGTCCAAAAAAAGAATTTAAAGTGAAGTTTAGGATAACTTAATTGGTCTACTTAGCGGTAAGGCGTATCAGGTCCTTTCACAACACGGTATTTGGCGAAACAAACAGGATTCCAGTCCCAGTGTGATTCGACTAGTAGGGCTAGAAGATAGGTAGAGGCCTAGTCTTGGGTAGGTGACCAGGTCTCATCCAGCAGACAAGGACATCTCACAAGCCAGCATGCCCCGCACATATCCCTCGAGGGTGATTCATTTTAAGTAAATTTAGTTGAATTTAGATGACATCTCATTCTTGATTAACAAAAAAAATCAACTTCTAATTTTGTTGTCTTCGTCACAAAATCATGGCTAGAGGAGAAGAGGGAGGAAGCGTCGGTTTCAGTCCACAGATCCGTCGAGTTTCATTATTGAGTCCAAACCACCAATCAGAGGTCTATAACTTTATCGATTGAGTGAAGATGGGATGTAGTAACCGTTGGAGCGAAGAGTATGAAGTGGTAGAGGCGTACTATATAAAATATTTTATAGTGACAAAATGAAATTCAGAATGCGGTCAGGCAGTCGATGCGCGCTTAAAGACTGAGATGAAATATTTAGCGGGTGATCAGTCCGCTAGTCTGTATGTAGGCGTTACTGAAATTCAGACTACAACTTTAAATCAGACACATACCAATTGCCTATGTTCTGGCCTTCGGAATCCACTAAAGTATACACATTGTCTGATTTCTCCTCTGAAATGGTGTATGGTCCAACGAAGCGTGGAGTTAATTTTGAAGAGTAGAAGTTGGCGGCATTCGATTGTGTGAAGTTCCGCTTCCAAACCAGTTGACCAACATTAAACCTCTCTGGGCGTCTGCGGAGGTTGTAGGTTCTTTCATTTTGTTGATGGGCCTTCTCCAGACGTCTCTTTACGTCCTCATAGATTTGTTTGAGTTTAGATATCTTCTCAGCATAGTCAGACTGATCTGTAGGTTCCAGTGGCAACTCAGAAAGTAGTTTGGAGTCCTCACACCCTGTTACTGACAACTCACGTCCAAAATTTAAGAAAGCTGGTGTGTAACCCGTGGTCTCATGCTTAGCTGTACGAAGAGCAAAACCTAAAGCAGGAATATTCTTATCCCATTCTCGGTGATTATCCTTCATGTAGGCTCTGATCATCTTAATGATGGTTCTGTTAGCTCTCTCTGTTGGATTTGCCTGTGGGTGCCTACTGGGGTTAAAAAGCATTTTAACTTGGTATTGTGACATCAACTTCCGCATTTGTGCCCCGGTAAATTCTGACCCATTATCACATTTAAAATAGGAGGGGACACCATAAATCATAAATACTTGTTCCTCAAAAACTTTTGATACTATAGTGGCGGTAGCAGCTCGAATCGGGAACAAAAGAGTATACTTAGAAAAGTTATCAACGACAACCAAAAGATATTTAAAGCCTTTTGTTGACCTTGGAAAAGGTCCCATTAAATCAGCGCTTATAGTGCACCAAGGTCGGGTTCCACCACGGCTCTGTCCAAGTAAACCAGCTGGTTTGGTTTGGTCATATTTTGTTTGTTGACAAACTTTACACTGCCGCAGATATTTCATGACATCTGGACGGAGTTTGGGCCACTAATAACGTTGTTGTATACGGCTCAGAGTTTTATAACTACCTAAATGCCCTGCTGTTTCGGCATCATGATTCTCACGGAAAATGTTAAGGCGTTGGGCTTTCGGGACAACTAATTTCCAATCTTCAGTATCGTGGTCCAAAGTGAGTTTTCCAGGAATATGTTTCCACAGCTTACGGTTTTCTACCCTCCAAAGCGGATATTGATCTGGGTGGTTGGTAACTTCTTCAATCATACGGTCATACCATTTATCTACGCTAGGAGTGAGTTCTGCAATTGTTCCTTCGACTTGTTCTGGCAAGGCACGGCTGAGGAGGTCTGGTACGACATGTTCCTTCCCTTTACGATGGATTAATTTAAAGTCGAAAGGTTGTAACCGTAATGCCCATCGAGCTAGGCGGCCTTGAGGATCCTTTAAATTATTCAACCAGAGGAGGCTGTAGTGATCAGTCACTACGGTAAAGTGGGTCCCTTCGATATATGTACGGAAACGCTCAATAGCCCAGATGACGGCTAGACACTCTCTTTCTGTGGCTGAAAATTTCATCTCACCTTTTGACAATGTGCGACTGGCATAGGCTTCACCTTCCTCAGTAGGCTGTGAGAGTACTGCTCCGATTCCAACGCCACTAGCATCGCATGAAATTGTAAATTCTCTGGAGAAATCAGGACATGTCAAGATAGGAGATTTTATTAGGCAGCTGCGGATATCTAGAAATGCTGCTTGAGCTTCTGGGGTCCAAATGAATTTCAAAGTCTTCTTTAACAGGCTGGTGAATGGGTGTAGACGAGTAGCAAAGTTGGGTATAAACCGGCGATACCAGGAGGCCATTCCGCAGAATCTTCTCACTTCTTTTGTGGTCTTAGGTGTGGGGATATCCAGTATTGATTTCACTTTGTCGGGGTCCACTTTTAGTCCATTCTCGTCCACAACATACCCTAAGTAGGCTACTTCAGTTCCGGTCGGCAAAATTTACATTTGTCCCGATTTACAGTTATTTTGGCTGCACTTAACCGTTTAAATATTTCTTCTAAAATTTCTAAATTTCATTTCGTCACTATAAAATATTTTATATAGTACGCCTCTACCACCTCATACTCTTCGCTCCAACGGTTACTACATCCCATCTTCACTCAATCGATAAAGTTATAGACCTCTGATTGGTGGTTTGGACTCAATAATGAAACTCGACGGATCTGTGGACTGAAACCGACGCTTCAGATCTGCTGAAAACATACAGTTTAACACAAAACCTTTCCACAACCATCACAGTCTGTCTCCGAGCGTGAACCGGCTGTTTACCCCAAAACAGTTGAGACATCCGCTTCCGTGGAGTATAGACTTTTTATTGCCAGGCATACAACAATCTTACTAATTTTAAAAATGTGTCTTTTAACGATTTGTGATTTGAAAATGTTGACAATTATCTGAGATTTGAAAATGGAGTTGTAACACTCTGCAACTTTCCTTCTAACAATAGATGGTGGAATGATGACTAGGCCTACAAAAGCTTTGAATATTATTGTCATTGTATCAACCCTGATGACAAAAATTAATCAGTCATGATATTTGTTGCCTATAGACAGTCTAGAAGATGTAGAAGAGAAAGAGAAGAAGACTGAAGACGAATCGGAAGAGGAAGCAATGACAGCGGAGGACGCAGATGCTGCAGACTCAGACTCGAATCAGATGGAAATAGACGAAGGCAACTCTCTTGCTGACTCAGTCGAGTTTAGTGACAAAAATGCCAAAAAGGTAAAAGATTCTGACAGAGAAGTTATGGAAACAGACTCAGTGAAAAATGTGGAGGGTTCTCCTGAAAAGCCCGAAGGGGATGCAAAACCAGCTGAAGAACCAACTACGGAACTAGCAGCTGCAGAGTCAGGTATAGGTTTGCAATTATGTAAAATAACAGTAGTGAAAGTAATGATACCTTGATATTCATTGAGTTTGTTATTTCAGGGGATATTATTCTTAATGTATTAAAAATTATCCTTGTGTAATTCTTACAGTAAGTAGCCATTTCAAGTGACAGAAAGAGGCAAAAGAAACACTTGTTCCAATCATTGCCTCCCGGGGTGAATCTGAGTCAAAACTTACATTCTTAGCTTTGCATCGCAAATGAACTAAGGTGTGGCTCTGCTTCATACATGAACCTTGAGTGTCCATGGTCTTTCTTTTAAAATCTTTCCTTATGTCCTTGATGTGCAGCACCTGTTCATAGGAGAAATAACATCTATATCTTAATTATGTCTAAATATTGCAGTGGAATTATTTTCTATATGTTTGTTGCACAAAACTGGTTTAAGTTTAGTGTCGTGGCGTCACAAGTTGACTGAAAATGGTAATACTATGGTTTTAATATTTCTTATGTATTTAGATACTAAACAGATGTGAATTACTAATTTATTGAAATTGGCTGCAAATTTATACTTAACGACCTACTGATCAATATTCTAAATGCTTGATAGGTGATCAGCTGAAAGTGGAGTACTGTGGAACTTGCAACCTTGTTGTGGACGATGCAGAAGAGGGCATCTGTTGTGACGGCAAGTGTGAGCGTTGGTTCCATCTGCAGTGTTCTGGCCTTACACAGGCTGAGTACGATGAACTGAGTCATGACGAGAACGCCAAGTGGGCATGTAATAGATGTTCAGGTATGTGATTGCTACAGAAGTGTCTTGATTATCCAATCTAAACTCCCGACATCAAGGTTGGATGGTCGGAAAGTTGGTATGATATTAAAAACAAGTAAAACCGCAATAAAAATCTCAAACATATAATTTAAATATATAAAAAAAAACATCCCAAATACACATTTAATAATTTAGTGAGTCGGTGGCTCAGTCGGTAGCGTCGCGGACTTCGGGCCCAAGGCAGCGATGTCGTGGGTTCGGATCCTGGTCACTGCCGATAACATTTTATCAGTTCAGCTCACCTTTGTACTGTACCGGCTCACTCCTTGCTTTGCTGTAAACGATCCACGCACGGGCGCTTAGTCTATGTGGACGGGCAAATGCAAGGTTAAAAGAGGCCGCCAACCTCTTTAAAAAAAAAATTATATATACTGGTAAATAGACTGCAAAATATACCAAAGATCTCTTGACTATCTGAGATTCTCGGTAACTGAGGTAGTCTCGGTCCCAACAACCTCGGTTAATCGGGAGTATAGTGTGTTGTATTTAAAAATGACAATTTTATTATAATTTTTGAAATTTTGGGATGGAATTACAATGATTTTCTTAAGCACCATTTAAGATATAATTGCAAAGTTTCATTTATGTCAGTCCTGTGGTCTCTAGGTTTAGCTGGTGCAGTATGGGGGGAATTTGTCATAGCACGGACAATGCTTTTCTGAATCTTAAATATTGCCATTCACTGTAATGGTAAGACGACCGCGCATCAAGACACGGATGCGACGTTGCCACGTTTCGCTTGCCGCGGCCTTGTATTAGAGGTGGCTGTGGCTCCACCCCAGTGGCTCTGCATTAGACCATGTTAACTTCTAGAGGTGTGCGGATAGTGAAATTTCATTTCGGATCGGATTAAGATCGGATAGTTGAGGCTCCGTTCGGATCGGATCGGATATTGGGAGGTTCGGATTCGGATAGTTCGGAGCGGTTAATAATAAGCTGCATATGCATTTTTAACCTATAAAACACTGTAAAGCTGTGTAAATAAACTTAAATGACGATTTTGAAGAATAGAATTTCAAATTAGCCACGTCCATAGTTTCTTCCCTCTTGAAAATCATAATTCACAACATCTATTTTCAAAAGTTGGTTGCTTGAATTAAGTACACTAGCAGCCGAAATCTTCACACAACACTTTAGCTCAGGAGGACTGATGTCAAATAGTTTGGGCTTGTTTACTTGAGGTTATGTTTTATGTTGTTTCCTGGTTTTCACAAGACAAGGAGTTCTATCTCAAGTTTATTTTCACATTGTATTTCCTTACGTTTTTGGAACGGATTATTGGCCTTAAGTGGCATTCTGTGGGTTTGCCAAGTTTAGAAAACATTACTGTCTAAGCTGGGCTCTAGATTTGATGTTGTGGCAAGTTAATTAGGGCAATTAGGCTTTATAACTCTGTAAAAGGTGTGTATCACTGCCAAACGTAATTCAGTAGAACCTTGATGAACCAAGAATTACACTAGCCTACAGAACTTCATTACCTCAAAAAAAATACCAAGATAATTTTTAAAATTGTATTTGAATAGTATAATCTTAGTTTGTTAAAAATGGATTGTAAATTCAACAATTATTGCAGTCCATTATTGTTATGCAGTATGGTCCCAAGTTATTGTTTTTGATTTTGAAACATTAAAGGCATTTCATTTGAAAAAATTAAAGTTGAAGCAGCCCAAGGTCAAGTCACGCGTGTGCAATAGTTTTTTTACAAGCTTTCTCTAGAACTCTGGGGAGGGTCGTGTCTGATAAGCCGTCTATTGTCCACCCTCAATGCGGTTCAACCCTCATTAGTGCCGCTCGGCTTCACTCAGTGGGGAACCCAATATCATAAATCAATCTTTAAATGAATAAAAATATTTGGTAATAATTGTTTTATTGATATTCACCTTGAAATTTCAATAAATTTGGTGTAAAATTTGACAAAAATCGGCCAATTTATTAATACAGTACCAATAATGTACATTGGTAATTAAATAATAGGTAAAAATTAACCGATTTTCGTCAAGTTTTACCCCCTGCTGTGCGCTATGTCACAAAAGCTGATAACGACATGGGTGATTAGTAACCATGGAAACTAGGCAACTTGTTGAATGCGTGATGAAGGGAAACCCAAGAAATAGAAGAACAAAGAGAAAGTATAATGACGTTGTAATCTTTATACCCTTTTTACAATTGCTGTTATTGTTTTTTTTTTATCTTTATGTAAGATTTTATGATTTTGTTTTATAGGTTTATAAAGTAATTCTTTTTAACCACGGGAATATCAATTTATAATTTATCAACGTGTTTCTCTTCTGAAACAGCAATACCGGATGTATAATAAAGGTCAATGACCTAAAATATCATGATTGTGCAATATTGTATTTTTATGTTGAAATTCAAATCATGACAAAAGTTTGTATATTTCCCCTGGTCTCTATCATTTAATATACACAATCAATGCTAAATAATCGTGGTTAGTTCTAATTTTATTTTTGATTATTCAAAGTTTCTACACAATAAGACAATTCAAAGTCAAACCGGGCAATGAATACCCGAAAAACAACGTATCTTGTCCTGTGATTGGAATACCACTTGCCAGTCCTTTAGATTTAGAAAAGTAGTGAAAGTCTATAAATAGCTTCAAGGTCGTACCCACCCCTTCCCCCCTCACGGCCTACTCAACTCACTGTTGCTACCTGTTACCCGGGCTCCTTTCGAGGTCGTTGCCCAACCCCTCCCACCCTTCTATTGTGTTGCCTTTCTATTGTTTCTATTCTGACTTTTTTCGGGAAACATTAAATCTATTGTTTACGTAACAGCACAGAAGTAGGCTAGATTTTTATACTTTAAAACAGTACTGTAAAAAGAACTATTACGCATAGCGCCCCTAGTATCAGGAGACAATCACGAGTTGACCATGGTAGTTCTTTTCTGCTTTATGTCTGTTCGTTCCAGACGAATCTAATCGTAAAGCAAAACAGCCGATAACGACTAAACTAGACATCGGTATTGCATCATACGGCTTCTTTGTCCTTTGCTGTTACGTCTTCGTTGGAAACGTATTGCTGTAATTTTGTCCTTGGAAACTAATGATGGTTATGAAGATTTAGTTTTCTGTCCAAAACGTCAAAATATGTTGTCTATCCGAAAAAGTCGGATATATAACGGATAATGTCGGATATCAAATTTAGGCTCGGTTCGGATACGGATATCCAAACCGAACCGAATCCGACCCGATTTTTTAAAGGGAATTAAAAAATTTATTCAGCTGTTTCAACTAAAAGAGTTGGTTCTATGATATGCAAAAGGTGCAGCACTATTATTTTTTCCATTATTTATGAAAATAGCTAATTTGATCTAAGCAGCAACAAAAAACTGTGATACGCAATGAGAACTGTCAAAGTAGGATTGTTTACTGTTATGTTTTTTTTTTTTTTTTTTTTTTTTTTTTTTTTCCATTAATAAGTTAATTTGTGATATTTTGCTAATTTATTAAAAAATCTATCTTTCTCTATTGTGTATGTGAAGTGGTAGAACATTATGGCTATGGTAGAAGTGTAATACTATGGTATACCATAAATTAAAATAAGAAAATTTTCTCAAACCGTGTCTTTTCCCATTGCAAACGCAAAGATCGAGTATAACTGCAATAAGCATTTTATACTTATATGCCAACCCTGTACAAAGGACGGGTACTCTGCTAGTTCATTCATAATTCCAACAGCATGCGTAGATTTTCCCTGCGATGCACACGAGCTGAGAAAAAAGGTTTTAAAGAAACATGCTTACCTATTAATATATAGATAATTTCTTTGGATCAGCTGTCTGAAATTGTGAAATATTATGCAATCTGGCATTTCTTCTTGTTTACATTGAAATGTCAAAGCAAACATAAACGTTGTTAGTATTCTCATTAATTGCAGCCATGGAGACCAATCAATAATATATACTTTTAAAATCTTCACCTTTAGAACTTTTAAAGCCAAAGGGGCAAAGCCCATGGTCGGTATCAAAGTGTGAATAGTCCTATTACAATTCTTGGTATGGTAGCTGTATTTTTGTAAACTTGTATATGTAATTTAATTTGACATGCTGATGCTAATGATATTCTTTGATGGTTCCAGGAAAGCCACCACCTGAAATAAAACCAGGAGCTAAACCTCTTCTTACTGGTGAGTAGTAGCTTACTACTGCAATAATTTGTGATTTATGTTTTAAATGCCTAGAGGTACAGTCTATATTTCTTTGTGAAGGAAATTAAATTCATCACAGATGGACATAAAAAGTTAAGCTCAAAACTGAGGTGGTGTGCAGCATAATTTACATTTATTTATGTTTTATCAAAAGTTGTTAATATATATATATATTTTTTTTTCCTAGGACGCTAGGCACGAGCCTGGGATTGTTTTTCACATTACTTCAGGCTAGACCTAGGGGTTGCAGCATTATCACTTAGATAAAATCCATTGGTGACTTGGCGGGGATTGAACCCGGGACCTCAGGGACTGAAGTTCCGCACTCTAACCACTACACCAGCTCGCTCCCCAAAGTTGTTAATATTAGACACTAATCATTTGATAAATTTTAGATATATCTTGGTACATACAATAGTCAACATTTTTCTTTTTTCTTGTCCTTGTACAGTTCGCAAAGATCTGACCGCAGTGTCGACTCCTTCGCCAAAACGAAAAATTACAACTAAAGAAGATAAACGTCCAAGAGTAGACATATCAAATCCTATCTTTCTCAAACCTTTTGACTATGGTAAGTTAATGGTATACTTAAACCTCAATTTATAAAATATAAATGAATTCCAAAGATTTACGAATATTAGCAGCTTGCTTACTTTAAACGTTAACATTAATCTATTTCTATTTCAGTTCAATTATATTTTGTAAAGCTATTGAGCAACACTGAATCATGATTCACTTCCACTGAAACCAGCCATTCTGTACACGCAAATTGTTTATTGAGGCATGCCTCAAGCCTCAACGTTTCTATCTGGTTTGTTATCAGTATGTTTTGACATTTGGCCCAAGAAAGTTTTAGTTTTGAAAATATATCTTGGACTATAAAATAAGTAACTGCACAATCAAGAAGCTTAAGAACTTTATTTATATATTTGTTTAAATTCAAATTAAAACTTCATGCTAGTTTCATCTACCATACTATTTTGAAATGAGCATTGTACCAAGACATTGTGTTGATATTTATTTATTTGATATTATTGTTTTGATAAATAATATAGTTTCTTGAATATTTCAATATTTGAAAATTACTACTTTCTACCTCATAAAAAATAGGATTTGTTTATTTAAACTGTTCTAACTCTTAATTTGTATTTAGGTTGGAAGAGAGAATTAGTCTTCCGCAGCACTAGTGATAGTGCCACTAAAAAACAGGGTGATGTTTATTACTACACACCTAAAGGGAAGAAACTTAGATCCCTAAGAGAAATTGGAGAACATTGTAAGTGAAATGTCTATAACATTAGCATTAATTATTTTCATTGTTATAGTTGTGGCATTTATTACAAATTCTGAAGCATTTATTTCATATAGCCTCTGTGAATTCTTGCATTAATCAGATTTTTGAAGAAGAGCAAGAATTTGCTGGTAATAGTAGTTATGGCTAATTGATTCACTCATCAAGTGATAGATTACCATATATTTCCACTGAATTTAACAACTAAATTACGTTTATCGCATTCATTAATACTAAGGGTCTGTGGTACAGAAAATTTAAGGTTGGTACGGTACAATATTTTGTACCTCGGTACAACATCGGTACGGTCTCAGGATTGTATTTTAACGATTATTTTAAATTTTAATGACATTACTATGCAAATGGATAGTATCCTACATTCATCGCATTCTAACAAATATTATATTACCATACATTATTAAAACATTTGACTTCTAACAAGATTGTTTTAAAATAGTTTTAAAACACAGTTAAGATAAAGGTTTGACCTATTTTACTACTAAGATGTTAAGTCAAAGCACTGATAAAGTGGTTTTAAAGACTTTTTTAGGCATAGGCCTAAATATGTTTTAACAAGATAATTTAACACAACTGGTAACTTTTTTCCAACTGACATAATAACTTGGTGTTAAATTTAAACTTTTAAAACATAAAAAGTGTTTTTTATATTATTGATGCATCCAATACCAAGACAGACGTAGTTGCCAGCTGTGCACATTCAAGTTCAACTAGTTCAAGTTTACTAAAGGGAAGGAGTGCTGAGGAACCAGTCTCACTAGATAAACCTAAAATGTAAAGTTGAAAAAAAAGGGAAATGTTACATTTACATTGTTAGAATGGAAGACATTGTTAGATGGTAATGTGTATGGAAAAGAAATGCAGAAGATTGTAAATATACGACAAAAACTAAAGAGGGATGATTGTTATATCAGCTGATCATTATTTGATTTTAAAGTTTTAGTTTTCTACTTACATTTCAATTATCTCAGGTTTATGAGTTCAGTTAATTGAATCTGTCATTTTATTAAAAGTTAAAACACAACAGAATATAATGAAACAACATACACAATGATATTGTGAATGTATTTATATTTAATATTTCTTTGCTATTCCATTTAAACAACTCTTGCTTACATCATGTCTGCTTTTGCCGCCCATTCAGTGCCGGATTTACCACTAGGCCGATTAGGCCGTGGCCTAGGGCCGCAAGCAAAAGGGGGCCGCAGAGGATAGGAAAAAAACATTTTTAGACAAAAAATAATTTATTTTAAACCACCAGTTTGCCGCGATTGCAGGTGACCATAATTATGTCTCCGCGGACCGAGGTAGATGTTAACGATTTTGCCGCGGCCGCGGCTGCCAGTGATGATGTCCCCGTGATACGGGCCCGTGGAAGACGTTCAGGATTTAGCCGTGGCCGCGGGTGACGGTGATGTATCCTCACGATCGAAGCCCGTGGGAGACGTTCAAGAATTAGCGACTGTCACGATGATGACGTCCCCGTGATTGCGGCCCGCGGGAGATGTTCGCGATTTTGCCGCGGTCACAAGTGTCGAGGATGACGTCCCCGTGATTGCAGCCCGCGGCATATGTTTATGATTTTACCGCGGCCGCGAGTGTTGGTGATGATGTCCCCGAAATTGCGGCTCACGGGAGATTTTAACGATTTTGCCGCGGTCACAAGTATCGATGATGATGTCCCCGTGATTGCTGCTTCGCAGGAAATGTTAACGATTTTGCCACGGTCGCGTGTGTCGATGATGATGTCCCTGTGGTTGCGGCCCGCGGGATATGATAACGATTTCACCGCGGTCGCGAGTGTCGAGGATGATGTCCCTGTGGTTGCTGCCCGCGGGATATGATAACGATTTCACCGCGGTCGCGAGTGTCGAGGATGATGTCCCTGTGGTTGTGGCCCGCGGGATATGATAACGATTTCACCGCGGTCGCGAGTGTCGAGGATGATGTCCCTGTGGTTGCTGCCCGCGGGATATGATAACGATTTCACCGCGGTTTGCGAGTGTCGAGGATGATGTCCCTGTGGTTGCTGCCCGCGGGATATGATAACGATTTCACCGCGGTCGCAAGTGTCGAGGATGATGTCCCTTTTTTGCAGCCCGCGGGATATGATAACGATTTCACCGCGGTCGCGAGTGTCGATGATGATGTCCCTGTGGTTGCGGCCCGCGGGATATGATAACGATTTCACTGCGGTCACGAGTGTCGAGGATGATGTCCCTTTTTTGCAGCCCGCGGGGGATGTTTACGATTTTGCCGTGGTCACGGATACCTATGTTGGCTTTGACTTGGTTTAGGAGAGATGTCCACGATTTCATCCACGATCACGGGTGTCGATGATGATGTCCCCTTGATGCATAGGAAATATTCACGAATACTTCCGCGATCGCAATAAATTTCCACCACAGGCGGAGGGCCGCTCAAATAATTTGGCCTAGGGCCGCAAGTACCCTAAATCCGGCACTGCGCCCATTATGCAATCTGCCTTGTCTCATCATTACTATCATAAGTTAAACTGTTTGAATTATTTTGTTACAGTGATAGGAACTGACCTCTCCATCGATAACTTTACGTTTTGGAAGGACGCACTGGGATGTGACCCTGAGAAGGAAATAATCCGGGACGCCAAAATTAAGTTAAACAAAGACAAGGTATTTACATACAAAAACATTTAACAAACCAGTAAAGTTAAGTGTTTTTCTCCATGCTGATTCTCCTTTTAGTTTTAATTTTCACCTACTTACTCCTGTGGCCATTGGAAACCTAGGTTGTTTTTGGCCTCGCCAACCATGTGCCTCCAAGCTCTTCTATCCTCTGCCAGCTCCAATTTTCACCTAAAAAATTCAAAAACTCAATAAACTTATTGTTTTGTTTATTTTAAACAAATTTCTCAAATGCCAGGTTTACTAACATTACTCGCTTGTTAAAAGAGTCCGGCTTAGTACTGCAATATTTAGTAAAAGTAGGCTTTTAGTTTTACAAAATGTTTTGTATCAGAACACTATCAGAGTAATATTATTTATTGTTATGAATCAAGATTTGTTGATGACAAAATTTATCAATCCTCGATACCGATACAATTTTTCAAAATCCTACCAAATATTTTACATGGATTGGTTATACTTCACCAACCCACTGTCTTCTTTACGTCTCTAGACAAAGTCATTTTTGGGTAATGTTTTAGGGTAGAGTTGTTTTTAAGTAAAGAAAGAAATAAAGCAATGCAATCATGAACAACGCCCGCAAAAACGTGATCGTCGTCTTGCGTGATAGCGGCAAAATCATGGACATCTCCTGCAGCTTTGTAAACGTCATCATTTTCTCCCACGTTCTTGAAAACGTGACCATCGTCTTTCGTGATCGCGGCATAATCATGACAATCTCCCGCAGCTGTCTAGATATCATCATCGTCCCCCGTGGTCACAAAAACGGGATCGTCTTTCGTGATAGCGGCAAAATCATGAACATCTTCTGCGGACGTGTAAACGTTCTCATCATCTCCCGCGGTTTCAAAAACGTGATCGCCGTCTTGGGTGATAGTGGCAAAATCAAGTTTATTTCCCGTGGCCGTGTAGACCTCATCATTGTCTCCCGCGGTTGCGATACAATCTTTGATTTCTTCCGCGATGACGGACGAATAGTGACAACACCTACGCTAACGGCGAAATAGCGAGGATCTTTTGCGGTCACTCAGATTTCATCAACAGCTCCCGCTATCGCTGCGAAAAAGATTATTGGTGAAATAAATTTATCAAGAAATAAATATTTGAGGCCCCAAGGGAGGCCCCCTTCTAGGCCAAGGCCCCCGGCAACCGCCGTGTCCGCTGTTCCTAGGCATCATTATCGTTTCCAAGGAAAATCTTACGTCATCCGCAATTGTGGTGAAAGCATAATACATTTTGGATCGCTTCATCTTCACAGAGAAGTCAGGTATTGGCCCTCAATGATCGATTTATGATATCGATGATGCCATTGTCCAAAAAATCAGTGGTGTATCAAAAATTTACACATTCCTAGTTGTGAATAATCCCCTAGTGGCAACTTTGTTATAGTGTAATAAGATACACATTTCTAAAAGAACAAAATTGAAAAGGGATAGAGTTCAGTTGGTTACTGGAGAAAATTTGAGTCCAGGAGCTAATAGATACACAATAATTAATCTAATCAGTCACCAAACAACACTAATAGTAGTTTTTTAGTCCTAGTATATGACTTCTTCAAAGAGTATGTTGTCAGTCAAAGTTCAAAACTGGAACGATGTTCATAGTTGCCAACTGTGGCTACCGCATATAAATTACTAGGACTTCTGGAGTCTATAATAAATTGGAAAGCTAATTCCAGCCTTCTTAACTGTTGAATTAGTCTTTGGGTATGGACTTTTTCACTTTAGTGGTGAAGCACAAATCAAAATCAAAGGTATGCTTTTAACATGGGCAACTACAGACTTGGTGAGTTTTGACATCTTACCTGTATCTATTCATCAATCCTATTCTCAGGGTTTGTGTTGTGAGGACCATATCGAGCTGAAATTAAGAAATTAAATAAATTAAGAAAACTGTTCTAACACTAAAAAATTTAATTAAATAGTTCTAGAAACCTCTGATAGTATGTATCCTTAATTATTATGATTTGGGCAGGACTCGAATGCCTCGCCAGTACCAACAGTGAAGAAACCAGCACCTCCAAAGACACCTAAAACTCCCAAGACAACACCGAAACTGACGGCAACAGTGACGCCCCTAGACAGCGCCAGCGGACTGCCTGTGGTGGCCAAGGTGTCAGCCAGCGTTACGCCGAGAGTAGTGCTGAAAGCGGGGAAAACTGGCAGCCTCAACACTGGGCCAAAGTTTAAGGCCACTCCTAACAAGACCAACACTCCTGTCCAGCCAAACAAGATAGTCATCAATAAAGGTAAGCGACACAATCTTTTATTGTGAAAGAGAGACAGTGAATGTATTAAGTTTTGCTTTCAATGTATGCCTCCAGTCTGGAATGATTATAAAGTAGCCTACATATATTTTTAAGGTGTCAGTTATATCTCATTGGGGACAACAATATGTTACATTGACTTTTATATTGACAATAGCTTCTACCGTTAAGAGAACATAATTTTTAGGGATGGTCAAGTCTCGAAATTTCGGGAAATTTTCAATCTCGTTACACGAGACGAGATTACTTTTTGGCCGAGATTTTTATCGAGACAAGAATAAAAAAAAAAAAAAAAAAAAAAAATTTAAAAACGCCTGCAGAAAGTCAATGCAATACAGGAGCGTGTTGTAGTTGCGTTTCCTTTTCGAAGGCGTTCTTATTTAATTAATTCTTTTAATGTAAATATTACTTTAATTCTTTTAATGTAAATATTACTTTCATTATTTTAATAATATTACTTTAATAACATTTGAGAAGTTTTGTTAAGTGTAAGCAGTGTGAGGAATGTTTTACTACTATAAAAAAAGTCAAAACAAGTAACTATTTTATAAAAATTAATATTGCTTTTATTTTATGATTTATTTTATTTTAGGATAAGTTGAACTCTATCCTAACTGATATCACCATGTTTCCTAATCGTAGGCATTTTTAATAAGTTAGGCGTGATTAATAAAAAAATGTTATGCTGATGTTATTTAATAAAAAATAGAAAATATTCTTGCCTATTATCATTATTTTAGTATTTAAACAGTCATCTAACAATGTTACAAAATCAGGTAAAAATTTCGAACGTGCATTTCCCGTTGTGTATGAGAAGAGAAATCTCGTCTCGATCTCGTCTAGAAATTTTATGAGAAATAAAAAATCTCGTCTCGTCTCGTCTCGAACTAAAAATCCAATCTCGTCCATCCCTAATATTTTTTTTTTAATGGCACAGTGTCTGGAAGAAAATTTCATTTGAGTATCTTAACTCCTCGGCAGAGCTAAATTTATACAGTGGGTTTTTAGCGAATTTCCCTATAGGGAAGTAGCTATTACCGTAGGTCTCATGGTAAGACTTAGGCCCGGGACCGATTTACTTTTTCATTTTAATGTCCCCAGAGGCCAAAAACACCATTCGTTCAAATTTTTATATATGTATATATATATAGGTACCTATATATATATATAGATTTATATATATATATATATATGTGTCCGTGAACACGATAACTTGAGTAATTTTTATCCGATTTTGATGAAATTTGGTTTGAAGGTGTAAGGCGGGATAAACTTGAATGAGTTCGCGATCCAGCATGATCGGACCATGGGAAAAGGGTTTTATGGGGGGTTTTATGGGGTAAAAATTGGTTTTTCTCACTTTTTACCCTCAAAACACAAAATTTCCCAATTTTTATATAAACCTTCTTAAAGAGCTTAAAAAAACAAACAATTCAGTATATCAAAGTGTTTTTGTACGGTTATTGGTTACGGAGAAAACTAAAAAAATTGTAAATTTAAAATTCCCATGTTATTCTTATGGAGAATATTGTAAAATGTTGTAGTTTGCTTGTTTATGGATATATTTTGATCAAACTTGGCAAATTTATTTATTTTATAGTAAGCTATCAATATTTTACTAAAAACACACTACTTTATTAGTTTCCTTGTAGCAGCAAACCTAGGTACTCGTTAAACCTAATGTTATTTAAATAGATCAATTGAAAATCAATTCGGCCAAATGGAAATTCGCTTAGACGGCAGGTTTGCTGCGGCGGGGGTATTGTACTTACAGTTGTTTTTTTGTGTATAATTTACACAGTGTGTGGACTAATTTTCTTTTCCTACAGTTACCTAACAATGTACATGTTCTATCACTGATTTGAGAAAGCAAAGTGGCCAATTCGCTCATCAGTGAGACAATGTTAACATTGTCTCACTCTAATTACTTTGTCTCACTCCAGATTTGCAACGTGAAGGCATGGAATAGTGAGCTCGTAACTGGCTGTAAATCAGCTGGTCAGCTGTTGTACTGTTGTATTTGTCACTTCACGTTAAATGTTATATTAAAAGTTCACTTCTGTGTAAAAATAGGTTATGTTTCTTCACCAATTTATTTGTTTTATGGTAACTGTAGGAAAAGTATAATGTGCAACTCGAGTTCAAAGTACAATTGCTTCACTCGAGAAACCATTCATCACTCGCCTACGGCTCGTGAGTAAGGATTTCTCTCAAGTGAGTCAATTGCTCACTTTTCTCACTAGTTGCACAAATAACTATTTCTGTTCACAAACAATTCAAATTATAGGAATAATCAGTTTTTTTTACTGTTTTGAGTAAAAGTATCTTTTTGCAGCCTAAGCAATAATGTGAACAACTATGAATTAAACACGTTAACAATCACAATAATGGAAATGTTAAGATAAAATATAAATCTAACTCTAATTTGAATTTTATAAATTTGTTTTTTATAAAAAGATTTACATAACATTTTGATCCTTCCTATTAATAAATTATTTTTTATTTGTTGTACTTCTTTCATAAACTTAATTCTATTTAGGTTGTAAAATAATATAATGCCCATTAGCTTATTAGTTGAGTTTACAAATAAAAAAGTTTTTTCTAGGTTTGCAACCAAACAAGGAAATGAGAATGGATAAAATATTTCATTAGATTTCACAAATTTGTTTTCACAAATGTTATATATAAAAGAACCAAACTAAAATACATATATTTATTTGCTAGACTTTGTAAGCTTTTTATACAAATTTTTTAACATTTATTTTATTATATAGTAACAACTAAGCCAATAAGAATTTACAATTCAAAATTATGACATCAGCAATTTTTGTTTCAGTTTACGCTGATTAAGTGATGGTGGGATTCAGACAAGGGTCTTACTTTTCATTGATCAAAAGGCATTATGTGGGGATAAATATATGATTAGTTACCTTTATAAGTATACATTTATATTTAAAAAAAAAATAAATTGTTGCAATGCCAAATAAGTGGAAATAACTATCTCCTTTTTATCTTTAAGGGGTGGAAGCAATTTATCGCTTACTCTGAAATTTTTACAATATCTACCGTTTCAATATTATTTCTCTGAGGATTGGTGATGTCATGATTTGTTTGAAAATAAATTTATAAGAAATTTAATTCAAATAAATTGCTAAATACTAAAATGTAACTCGATGCATACACACAATTTTTAGGAATGTCTTGTGCTGGTTATTAAAAAAAATAATTCACCACGCCGTTCCACTGAAATTTTTATTACAAGCGAATTAAAGTTCTAATTATTGTCCTATGGCCTTGTAGAAAATTTTAGCAGCCTAACGTTTATTATAATTCAATGTGAATTAAAGTTTTGGTTGTTTCTCATGTCAGCAAACCTGGGTACTCTGTCAATCCTGTTCCTTGGTGTGAAATCAAATTGTTACACCTGTCTCATCTGTATTTTTTCTGGTTAACATTTTATCAACCAGAATGTGGATATACATTCATTACCTCAGTAGACCTGTTAGCCTGGGTACTCATTGTAGTCTTAGACTCAAACTTGTTTGTGCTAGAAAAAGTCTGCGAAATGTTTAAAAGCTGCTGTGAATTCCCGGAGTGCAGGTTTGCTGCAAAGGGGGTGTTTACAAATATTTATTGGTATAGGTTGTAACTCCTAAGTTTTGCTCCTTAAGTGTAAATCATTTATAGTTGATGTCGGTCAGTTGTGTATAGTTTGTTCAAACAATCTGTCAAAAGTGCTAGTGCTTCATGAGAAGAAAGAAGATCTTGTGGATAGAAAGAGGTATGTAGATATTTATACTCATTTTTGTAACTGTTTTTGATACATACTTTTACAGCCCCTATAAAACCCAAAATAATCAACAATTGAAATTGAGGTTCACATATGATGAGAGAAAAATTAAAACCCTTCCCAAAAACTAAGCTATTTTGATTTAAATACCTACAAAATTTTATCCTTTTTGTCCTGATTTTTTTTTTACCACAAGAAGATTGTCAGAAAAATGCATACAATGTGCTTTTATCCAGTGAAAATAGTCTGTAGTTAGTAGGAATGCATTTCTCAAGTTTATAATGTATTGCAATATTCAATGGCTAAAACTTAAAACATTACAGTTTTTTTACTTTTAAAAACAATGTAACATTTCTTCTTGGAACTAGTGTCATAAGCTGTTTGCCATTTGATCCATGCTACTTCGGCTAAGTGATATCTCCATGTTTATTGTTAGTTGTTTTAATTTACTTGGTTTATATAATGGAACGATTCGAAACAATTAAAGCATGCATGTCTTAATTTATCTAGTATTTTTTTATTGATTTTCCATGTACCAATAGAGCATTTTGTTTTCAACATTAAATGAATTTTACTTGTCTTATTTATACTCTTTTATTTCTATAAAACACCCCTGGTGCAGCAAACCGTCATACACAGTGAGTAAATTGTTATCTGTCTCTATGTTAGCAATTCAAAATCTAGTTCTGTGAGACGTTGTTAACGTGGTATACAATGTTTCTTAACCTGCCAATAGAATAGTATCACAATCTTGAGTACCCAGAATTGCTGCTTTAGAACAATCTTGTCAGTAGATATAAAATATTCAATACAACCTGAGTACAAAATTACCAGTCTGGTAGAGCCCCTAATGTTGTAGGATGTTATGGTGTTTGTGTATTTGATGTTTTCTCTGTATTTGAGGTTTCATTGGGCCAAAACAAAACAACATTTTCCCTGAAAAGACCAATGCTGAATTTGTAATTATCTAATATTACCTTTTCCAATAATTATTCTGTCTTGTCATAGCATGATGTAAAATACTGCTAAACAAACTTGTTGGGGTCATCTCAGCTCATAAACAGATTTTCCGCTAAATTGTTATAGATATCGGTCTGCGATCAACAGATACCATTCTATTATGCTGTAAACTTAACTAACTAACTTAACTTAGGCCTATATAAAAAATTGGCTTCAATCAAATTTAGCAAAT